AGTGGTTGAGAGTCCGCCTGCCGATGCAGGGGACACGGGTTCGTGCCTCGGTCTGGGAAGATCCCACATGCCGCCGAGCGGCTGGGCCCGTGAGCCATGGCCGCTGAGCCTGCGCGTCGGGAGCCTGTGCTCCGCAGCGGGAGAGGCCACAACAGTGAGAGGCCCGCGTACCGCAAAAAAAAAAAAAACGAAAAAAACCCAAACAAACAAACCAAAAAACATGCAGATGTTCAAACACAAATACTTATGGTACTCAGTGGGAAGGCTGAGGAGACAGACTATGTTTGTAATAAGCACCCTGACTTGCTTCTGATACAAGTATCCTTCAATACATTTCGAGAAATGTTACTTTGGAACTTACTCCTTATCTGGCTTTTGGTAAATTGGTTAGTCTCTTTAAAACTCAGTTTCTTCATCTATGAAATGAGTTTAATATTATTACCTTACTCATAAAGTAATTGTGAGGATTATTTAATATAATTATGTAAGGCATTGAGCAGAGTACCAAGCATATAATTAATACTCAATGAATATGTATAACTTTTATAGCTTTGTGCACTGACACCCAAAGACACTTGAATCGATTTTGTTTTAGACTATCAATAAACAAGCAGATTTGGCACGGGAGGGGCGGCAAGAGAGGGCACTGAGGAAAAATAATAGAAATACTATAGATTCTGTTTCCACTTCAAATGTGTTGAGATCTTGGCTTTTGGGGTATAATGCCATTATTTTCCTGTTTTTACTTGTTTATTTAGAGAAACCAAATTGGAACTAATAATTCAGAAAACTGTCCAAAAATCAGCCATAGCTCTGAAATTTAGTGTTTTATCTCCCCCAAATGGAAAAGCATACATTTTATATCGCTATTCATGACTGAATTTTAAAGAATAATATTGTAGTGGATGGCAAAAGTGCAATTAAAAAATGTAAACCAATCAAACTGTACCTACAAAGATTCTTTTTTTCTGATACTCATATCAAAAGCATCTTATACATAAAATCAGAATAGCATAGACTTTAGTAGCACAGGTAAGTGAACTTGGGAAAATAGTTTGACTTCTCCATGCCTCAATTTGCAATTTTGTTACAACACACTAATAATAGTAACTATGTCACAGAGCTATTTTGAGATTCAAAATAATTCATGTAAAAGGCCTTTGAAACGGTGCTTGGAATATAATGAACAATAAATAAGATAGTATGATTAAAAACATTAAACGTCATACAAGTGACATACTAATCTTTGGCTGGGAGAGCCCAATGTTTCCCCCAAAGAAATTTATCAGAGAGCATACTATATTGGGGAAACCTAGATCTTTCTGAGCATTATATTTAGTGCTGATAAAATTTGAGAGCCCCTGGAAATTAATGGCAACCACTGAATTTCGGTTCCTGCATTCTTCCTGACATTGCTCTTAATGCATATTTGTTGTGCTTGTTGTTTCTTCCTCTTCTTCACCTCGATAGAAATCATTTCAATGTAAAGGCTATAGGGAGTTAAGTCACATTATTTTCTCTGTCAGAATCTCAGGTCACTTAAAAATCATATGGCATATTTGGAGAATTTGCTGGATATTCTCCATTTGCCTCTTGAGATCCTCTTGGCCCCATCCTATGTCTTGGGACGCAGAACTCCAAGGTACAGCAATATCTGGGCAAACTTGGCCACTGGCTTCCAGTTAATTCCTCTGTTGGGAGGTACTAGCAGTGATCAGGGGGGTGAAAGGGGAGAACGGTCCGGGTGTTTATGCCACTGGCTGTCGCCTACCACACCCTGGTTTGGCAAAGCCTTCATGTTCTGTATCTTAGGCCATGGCCCTTTCAGATAGGTCACAAAGTTCCAATAATTACCCTCCCCTTAACCCTTCAGGCCTGGGTGTGATAATCGTTCCCCAATGCATATTTCACAACCCCTTTCTGGTTTCCTTAATCCTTCCCCAATCTTTATAAAACCGTCTTTGTTAAATGCCCTCAGATGCCCCCTTGGGATTTGCAGACTGTAAATTACTGAGACACTACTTTTGGCCGTAAGGACAAATGGCCAATATATGAATGATGATTAAAGTATCAAATTTCTCGGGCTTCCCTGGTGGCGCAGTGGTTGAGAGTCCACCTGCCGATGCAGGGGACACGGGTTCGTGCCCTGGTCCGGGAAGATCCCACATGCCGTGGAGCGGCTGGGTCCGTGAGCCATGGCTGCTGAGCCTGCGCGTCGGGAGCCTGTGCTCTGCAACGGGAGAGGCCGCAACAGTGAGAGGCCTGCGTACCGCAAAAAAAAAAAAAAAAAAAAAAAAGTATCAAATTTCTCAATACCAATGCTGTAGTCACAGGATGTGGCAGAAACAGCCCTCTATCCACTAAATAATTCATGCTTCCCTTCTAGAGTGAAACTATTGTAGAAAGTTTGCTAGCCAGGCAAAAATTAGGCTTATCAGGACCAAACTGTAGATCCAAACAGGGCACTATTAGTGGATGTGAATGTCATACATGATAATTCAAGGTTACGGCTTTTAAGAAACAATTGTGGATATGCCATCTTCTCCTTTTCTTTCCATTGGCTAGAAGTATGACATTCCAACCACCCACAAAATAGAAGGAGCAGGGTTGCATTTGGAGGAAAACTACCCACTAACCAGTATTACTGGAGCTAAAATGTTACGTGAGCGAGAAATAAACTTTGTGTTAAACGACTGATATTTTGAGGTTTACTTGTCACAGCAACTGCATCACCCCAGATAATACAATGTGTAAATTTATTTGAGAGATGAAATCCCTTCCCAGTTTTCTTGTTTAAGCATGTACAGTGATCTACAACTCCTTCCACGCTGGTTGGCCCAATGTGAGCTATCCTCGTATCTTTGCCATCAAGGTCATTCCCACACTTCACACCCTAAACCAAATGTAAGCTCATTCCCTGCACTTCTGGCCTTTTCATTTTAACAGTAATCCAGTGCTATCACCTGCAACATCTGCTACGTTGTAGAAACCAGAGCAATAACCTATTCTATCATTGACCATTTTGAGTTCAGTCTCTTTCTCACTTCCTTTTTTACCAAGTTACGCTTTGGCTTAAACTTCTACTTTCTGGATGAAGATGCATCTATTCTATTCCTTAAACTCAAACATATTTCCCCACTGGTGTGAAAAGGTAGCTAATTTCAGTTCTTCCATTAATCTGCTCCTGACTACAAAAGGAGTTATTTGTCTCAGCTTCTCATGTGGACCCCCTTACCTATCAAAGCACCTCAGACATGCAGGAGGAAGAAACATACACCTCTCTTCAGTGGGATAATCCAACACCAAACCCTTACCAGAAACATCTGTCTTCCACCAAAAATTCAGGTAACCAGTTCTACTTATTTAGACCAAGACCTTGTGGTTTATGGGTTTTCTTTTTTCCTGTTCTATGAGGAGCCCAAGGTGATTTTTCTAATCTGAGATAACCCACTTAAGAGTAGTATAATATGGATAATATGATGCATAATATTGCATAATATACAATAGTATTATAACATGCATAACATTAAAAATGAAATGAAACGGAGAAGAAATAAAAATGAAAAAGGAAAAGAGAAATGGACTTGACAAATATGTATTACATTGGTTCTCTCTCTCTCTCTCTCTCTCTCTCCTCTCTCTGGAAAGACAATGAATTCCTGGATTTGGAAAATAAGTGAAAGAAATCATATATTTTGTGTAATTTTAGTTCCCACGTAAAAACACCCTGCACATTATCTGATAAATACTAAGAAGTAAAAGAGAAAACGTAGGTTGAAAAAACTGGCAAACACCCATCAGCCTGGATCAGTTCTGTCTTTATAATTTAATATTCGTATTAGTCTCCTATTGTTTAGGTAATATAGTACCACAGACTTAGGGGCTTAATACAATACAAATTTATTTTCTTATAGTTCTAGAGATCAGAAGTCCGAAACAGGTTCTGCTGGGCTGAAACCAAGGTGTCATGGGGCTACCTTCCCTAGAGAGGCTCTAGGGGGCAACCCATGCCCTGTCTTCTCCAGTTTCTAGAGCTGCATTTCTTGCTTTCCTCAGCTTGTGACTCCTTTTCCATCTTCAAAAGACAGTAGCACATTTTCAAATGTCTCTCTGCTTCCTCCATCATATGGCAGTCTGTCCCTCTAATGTAAATCTCACTTATAAGTGCCCAGGTAAAACAGGATAATCTCCCCATCCCAAGATCCTTAACTTAATTATACCTTTAAAATCTCCTTTTCCACGTAAGGTAACACTTACTGGTTCCAGAGATTAGGACATAGGCATTTCAGGCAAAGCTGTTATTCAGCCTACGACATTATCCGAAGATAAATTTTATACATTTTCCTGTAACTAGCATTAAGGATATAACAAATCACACATTCATTTTCCTTTCCTGAATAGTTGCAAAATTACCTTAAAAAATTGCCCTCATCCAAAATCGTACGTTTAAAGGGAAATACCTTTGAACCAATCATGCTCAAGTGACACTGACAGGAGATGAGATTGGAGACAGCCTCTTTGCTCTCAAAAACTAAATCCTGCTGCCTGGCTTGCCATCATCTCTCAAAGATTGTTGGAAGAGAATACATCTAACTAGTTACTAAGTTTGTGGTGTTATATAAGGATAAGAGAAGTATACTATTAAAACTGTTCAATTTGGCATTTTTCCAAATCCAGTGTATTCCAAGTTATGACTTGCATTTCCAAGAGTTTGAGTTCACCTTTTCTTGTTACACACAGTTACAAGGCCTCGGTGATTCTCTAGAAGGAATGTCTAATGTTAACTGCTTAGTTTACTCAGTGTAGTCCTATCCTGACCCACCTCTTTCCTCTACTTTCTCTAATTCAATTTCATTGTCTCTATTCCTTGTTTAGGAACATGGTGTCTTGTGACGGTGGTTTTATGTATCTTCTGCATAGGCTCATTAGCAACCTCCATTTTCTTGGGTGTCAAGTGTAAGTACAAAAGGATATCTTCAAAGTAATCTATAGATAGGTTACATACTTCATGTAGTGTTATATACAATTATATGTACGTATGTCGTGGAACTGGAACTTCATAATTTATAAATGGATAGACAAATCAATTAGAAACATCTAAATGACATAAATGATATAAGATAATGGCTTCCTTATTTAAGTTATGGGACATTTATTTGATATAACTCTCTAAGCACTCGGAGGCTAATGATAACTTTTAATGTTCAATTGCATGTTATTTAACTCAAATCTAATACCATAGGTCTGTTGGCGAAAATGATGCAAATAATTGCTTATATCATGATTCAATTTATGAGTCATGTTAGTATGCCAAAGCTTGCAATTTGTAAGTTTTCAGTATAGGCTCTTCCTTTTCTAATATACATTTGTTCTAAATTTGACTTATACAATTATTTTAATATGAGTTTTTCACTTTATATTTGATGAGGTACCAGTTAGTATGTTTAAGGTAAATGTGAGAACTTTGTTTGAGCCAATATTTAACCACATTTCTTTATTCTTTGTAGTCCAAACTGGAGACATGTTTCTATATCTAGCAAATGAATTTTTTATAAAATGTAACAATTACAGAACTGCAGGTTCCAGAAACAGGACTAAGACCCTTCATTATCACTCATGCTAGCACTGAGAAATATGCTTAGCAAGACAGAGAGGAAGGCTATTGCCTGGATAAGTCTTATTTCTTGTATACCTTGGCAAATCATTTTTCTGTCTAGGAGGAATTAGCTGGCAAAGGAGAATTAGGAGTTCTGAAATGAAGAGGAGAAGAGTACAAGGTTTGCTTCCACAAAGTACAGGAAACTTGACCTTGTTCATGTTAGCTATGATCTTATTTTCCTGGCGGTTCAGAGAGGAATGTTTTAATAATTTCTAGGCTCTCAAGAAGTAATTGTTACCTTGTCTATCTCCTCAAACAAAATTTCACAGCCCAGCATAAATGCCAGAACTTCCCTTATCTCACCTTATCCTCCCTCTGTACTTTATTAAAATACACATAAATATAAATATATATAGTATAGGTAATATACTATATATATTTATATATATATAATACTAGTCCATTTTAAAAAGAAATTCACAATTAAATACCTGTTTATCAAACATATATACTGGAAGCAGATTTGCAGAGTTGGAAGAGAACTACCATACAAGTCAATTAACATATAATAATCCAGTTTTTTCTGTAAAAACTGGGGACTCTTAATGAAATATTGCCAAGTTCCATTCTAACTGCAAGAATACATATTTAACTGACATTGCAAATATCAAAAGATATGGTTCAGGTATCCATTCTGTATAACGAATTTCAGTGTTATTTTATAAATATTAACTACTTGGGGTAAAAAGATGAAAGAAACTTGAAGTACAGAGAACAGTTTCAATTTAAAGCAAAATAACTGAAGGTGCAACATCTTGAAACAATATTGTCAAGTGAATGGAATGTAGAATTTGTTTTATACATAAAAATAAACCTGTAGTCTCCAATCATCAGTTATTATATAGCCAAAAAGCACATAGTACATACTAAGGATGCTGATAAAATCATACTGTACACTTTTATGTCCTCAAAAGTCTTGCTTTCTGATGGGCACAGAATTTTGTTTTCTTCTCTGTCTAGTTTATGAAATCCGTTAAGATCAACCATGACAATCATGTTTTTAACAAACTCTGGGTTATCTTAAACTGAATGAATTAATTTTGATCTAGAAATCCCACTTCTGGAAAGTTTTCCTATTGATAAACCTGCACGTGTAGCAATAGGAAGAAAAACAAAAAAGATTGAAAAAAATGCAATTGCCTATCAGTAAGGGACCACTTAATTAAAAAATGATACCTCCACACTATGGGATACCAAGAAGCCAGAGGAAGGAGTAGAAGGAGGAAGTGGAGATGAAGGCGGAGGAGGGGCAGGGGAAGGCATTAAAGGAAGGATGTGGGGCTTCCCTGGTGGCGCAGTGGTTGAGAGTCCGCCTGCCGATGCAGGGGACACAGGTTCGTGCCCCAGTCTGGAAGGATCCCATAGGCCGCGGAGCGGCTGGGCCCGTGAGCCATGGCCGCTGAGCCTGCGCGTCCGGAGCCTGTGTTCCGCAGCGGGAGAGGCCACAAGAGTGAGAGGCCCGCGTATCGCAAAAAAAAAAAAAAAGGATGTGTATTACAAAAGTGTCTGGAAAGACCAGGTTCCAACAGGCACCTCTTCCTCTCCATGTAAGTGTCCTTTCACAACACAATTTCTCTCTTGGATCAGGAACCACTGACGGGTACACAAGACACCTTGGTACCTGGGAGCCCAAAATGAAGTCTTGCTGACCACCTGACATATTCCTGAGAGGTAACTAGCCTCAACAGCAGAGCCTTCTCAGGGTCTCTTTGTAACCAGGGACAAATCATCAATCGTATGTCATCAATGAACAATGCTGACAAGATAGTATAATCTGGCCCCCCAAATCCTCATACCCATGATAACAAAGCTACACTATTAACCTGTATGTTTCATGCCTTGTCCGGAGATCAGTGTCATGTAGGAATTTTAGAAACACTGCTCATGCTGATTCCAGGCCAGCCCAAATTAATTCTCATGGCACAATAAGGACCACATATATTAGACTAGAAACCCAATGAAAAAAATTACAAAGGATATAATTATACACTTCATTGAAAAGAAAATACAACTGACCTTTATTTATACATGTGTGAAAAGAGTTTCAACATCAAACATAAAAAGATACATGCAAATTCAAATGAAATTGAGAGAACATTTGTATGAGATAATAGAAGATATACATTAGTGTCTCTCCCCTCTACTCTGCTGTGACAAGAGCACTAGGAACATCTCTCGTTCTAATAATTGTGTTTGACCAGGTCCCTGACACAGGGCTCCTGAAACGCTTGTAAATTCCTAAGTGATAAGAGCACTAGGAACATCTTTTGTTCTGATGAGGTGACTGTGGATAGGCTCCTGTATGGAGGCTGGTCACCAGCAAGACCACACCATGATTAGAAGCTTAGAATTATCAGCTCCACCTCCCATCCTCCAGAAAGGGGAGAGGAGCTGGAAATGGCATTAACAATTGATCATGCATGGGACTTCCCTGGTGGCGCAGTGGTTAAGAATCTGCCTGCCAATGCAAGGCACACGGGTTCGAGCCCTGGTCTGGGAAGATCCCACATGCCGCGGAGCAATTAAGCCCGTGCGCCACAACTACTGAGCCTGCGCTCTAGAGCCCGCGAGCCACAACTACTGAAGCCCATATGCCACAACTACTGAAGCCTGCGTGCCTAGAGCCTACGCTCCGCAACAAGAGAAGCCACCGCAATGAGAAGCCTGCGCACTGCAATGAAAAGAAGCCCCCGCTCGCCGCAACTAGAGAAAGCCCATGCGCAGCAACGAAGACCCAATGCAGCCAAAAATAAATAAATAAAGTAAATTTACAAAAAAGAAAAACAATTGATCATGCTTATGTGAGGAAACCTCCATAAAATCCCAATAGTGTGGAGTCAGAGAGCTTCCAGGTTCGTAAACTCATCCACACTGGGAGGGTGACACACCCAACTCCAACTCCATGGGGACAGAAGCTCTTGAGCTCGGGACCCTTTAGCCCTCTCCCAATGTATCTCTTGACCTGGGTGTTCATCTGTACCCTTTATCATACCCTTAAAAAACTGGTAACTCATTTCGCTATCAGTGAGCTGCCTTAGCAAATTAATTGAACCCAGGAGGGAGTCACGGGAACCTCCAATTTGTAGCCAAATCAAACAGAAGTTGTGGAAACCTGGGGACCTACTACTTGCATTGGCATCTGAAGGGGGGAGCAATCTTTGGGACTGAGCCCTTGACCTGTGGGATTGTTACTTTCTCCAAGAAGATAGTGTCAGATTGAATTAAATTATAGGACACTGTGCTGGTGTTTTGGAGAAGGGCGAGGGATATGGTGGTGGAGAAACCATACATTTGGTGACTGGAAGTGTCAGAAAAGTCAAGATGATTCACAGGAGAAAGGCTTATAGAAGGAAAAACTGAGTTTTTCCTATACAGTTTGCATCGGCACACATGGAAGGTAATTTGGAAATATCTAATACAATTTAAACGCACAAAACTTTGAGCCATCAACGTATCTTACAAATATACTTACACATGTGTGAAATTATGTATAACTAAGGTTCTTTATTACAGTACTTCAGTAATATCAAAAGATTACAAATAGTCTAAAATAGAGAATTATTAAAATAAATCATGACATATCCATACAGTAGAATGCTAAATAACAAAAGAATGAAAAAGCTCTTTATGTACTAACACAGTATTATGTCCAAAATATATTTTAAGTGGTAAAATAAAAAGTTAAAAACCATGTAAAAATATTGTTACCATTTGTGTAAAGGGGAAGGAGGAGATTTTATATTCATTTGCATGCAAAGTTCAAAACATCTCTGGAAGAATAAAAAAGAAATTGGCAAACCTGACTACTTTGGGAGACTGGAATTGGGTGAATAAGGAAACAGGAATGGCAAAGAGACTTTTTGCTGTGCATTCTTTGTAGGTTTTAATCACAAATATCATCAGTAATGTGTAGTTCTCTTTAGTCTATGTTGAAGGTTTACTTTGTTATATGTCAGTATTTTATCAGGAATGGTTGTTATTGTTTGAAGTGTTCCAGGTGTCCACTACTGCAATGAAGCAGCAAGAAAAACTCATCCAACAGGACAGAGTACTGCTCAATTTCACACAGTGGAAGAGAAACCATGACCTGCAGATGAAATATTGCCAAATGTTGATGCAGACGTCTTTCAGTTCAGGTAATTGATACAAAATCAGTTTCCACTGCGTGGATACACATGTATACACCAATTCCTCAAAACAACAACAACAACAACAAAAAACCAGTGACATACATTTTATTCTTTGTAAAATTATAGTCAGGATTTCATAATAGGAGAGACATACTTTTGATCTACTCTTCAGTTTAATCTCATATATATATATATATATATATATATATATATATATCAATAGCGTGTGGAAAATACTGAGGTTCCAAGAAATACAGATAAGGAAAATATACAGTCAAATGTCAAAATGGAATGTGTGAGATTAGTAGGTAAGATTAAACAACAAAAAAAGCAACATATTATGTTTTATCCAATCATTCAAATTTACGTGTATCTTTAATTAGAGCTCCAAATGCCTCAATTTATTTAGTTTAGATCTTGCTTTAGATTCAAATTTAGATATCTCTTGAAGCAGAAATTCATTTTGAAAATCAGGGTACTTACAAAAATTATAACAATGCAGCGTTCAGCTCATTTTTAAAAATTCTATTAAGTGACTTTGGTTTTATCTTTTTCATCCCTTACAGGCATTTTAAACCTGTCTATTTCTACTTGTTAATAGTGTGTCAAGTACTCTACGGTTACTTAACTAGTGTTTAATAATACTAATACATAAAATTTAGAGAATTAACTTCCCTGTAGTGGATATCATCTTAGTAATTGTCAATAAGAGAGGTCAAAAACCTACCATAGCTCCTTCTAATTGAAATTTTGTCAAGTAAATGTTTAAAAAACATCAGTGTTTTAAAATATAACAGACTACTGAAAGCATGAGTTAGGCCCACCTCTGAGCCATCAACCTTAAATCAGTGATGATATCCATTTTGGAGACTTGCAAATCCAGCATGTTGTCAACCTTTCAACTGCCACTTCAACACTACTTATGCTATGACTTTAACAATATTCAGGATACTGACTAGAGTCTATTTCAAACAAAGGATATCGAAGAGCCTTAAATAACTTGACATCTGTGCCATGGAAACTGATAGTGAACCATTTTTGACCTTAAGTAGAAGGCTTTTCTCTAATGACTAGTGATCTGGCAGTGTCTTTCCCTCTATAAAACAGTGCCAGAAACACTTGGTCAAATTCCTGCTCTTTGGTTCCCCTTTTATACATTTGAGCATCCTTCTTTTGTGAATACATTCTTTCTTAACACAGGTTCTGTAAAACTGGTTAAACACTGTGGCTTACTTCTTAGTTATATCAAAGTCCTAAAATAAACATATTGGTCAGTTGTGTTTTTGTTCACTTTTCCTCACCCACAAATTTTAAAATCATTCCTCAAGGTGCATTGTTTGTTCTCTCCATTCTGTGTGGAAATTTTTTCATGTTTAACTCTCAGAATGTAAACATCAACTTGAGGCTTATTATGCTACTCACCTAATTAACTGGGAATGTACTTATTATTATGCTTGGTACATTCCCAATTAAATTGGGTCAATAAGATTAAAAGACATGAAACAATAAGCAAACAAATGAAGATTATAAATGATGTAAAGTTAAAAGGAGGAAAGATTTCTAAAAATAGAATAATCAGATCAATTATTATAGAGGAGGAACAATTTGGGAATAGATATTCTCAAATTAATTTTATCTTAAACTAATTCTTAGAGACCTACTGCACTTGGAAATAATTGTATAAATCTTACTGTATTCAGCCTCAAAGCAGCTGAAATTGGTAAGTACTGCATCATATGAACCATTGGGTTAAAGAGTCCTGCTTTACTGGGAGTGACACAAGGGTTCTTTTGAGAAGATATGCTACTAATATTTTTACAATAACTTTAATAAAATGTTTATATTTGAAGCCCATAACTGCAGCCCTTGTCCAGACAACTGGATTCGCAATGGAGAAAGTTGTTACCGTGTCTTTGAAAGCTGGACAATTTGGCACACCAGTAGAGAGGATTGTTTGAAGGAGGGATCTAAGCTTCTACAAATAGACAGCAAAGAAGAAATGGTAAACACTGTTTTATGGTTTCACATCATTCTGAAAATACCATATTACCCATTAAAAGAAAAGACTGGTTCTCATAAGACAGAATTCCTTGATACTCTATAACAATGGTAGATTTGTTGAAAAAAAGGTTTAACACACAAAGTAAGAATTAGCATGGCTTAGTTTCCTTTTAACTGGAGAAACAAAAAATGAGATGGTTATTCAAAAATCAAGGAGAATATGTTAGTTCTATGTCCTTTGTTAATCAAAAAGGGGAAAGGGTAAGAGAAATACCGTTTTGTAACATGGTAACCCACTCCAAGATATGCATACATTATAAGTGTATGTATGTTTTAAATGTCTTATTTTCAATGCTGTAGGGAAGTATAATAAGCTATAACAATTTTGTGATTATCAAGAAAAGTAGAAGTATAAAAAGTGAGGTGATGTCATGAAATGGAGAGATTTATGAAAATAAGCATTTGCTAAATGAAAAGTTTAATTGAACTTAAATCTAGTTTACTAACATCTTAACGAGCAAACAGTAAGATGTTTCCCTGAAATCATTCTACCCATAAATTATGTGCGAAGTAGAAGACATAGTTACACATTTCTGAATTTATTAAAAATGTATGCCTACTATATTCAGTAACTAGTCAAAATTCATTTTTGTAAGAGTAATAGTAGAACAATTTGTTAAGGCTATGTAATAAACCAAGGCAACTTGGACTAACTTATTACAATTATGGGTTCACACTATTTTTTCTGTGCAAATTTAGTGACAAAAGTTAGAAATATTTCTTCTCACAAAATATGCCTACAGTTAAGTTGCTTTTGGAATCTTCTAAACTATTTCTCACATTGAAATATCCTGGGAAAGTCATATACTATATGCCAAATTCTGAATCTGTTAAAACTATTTTGATACCAGATGCCTAATTTCTCCATAGTCCTTAACACCACATTGATCATTTAGCAATAGGGAAAAAGGTATCCTTTCTTTTAAAAATCCTCTCTCTCTCTCTCTCTATTTCCAGCTCTCAAATTCTAATTATTTCTGTGGAAACAAAATACCATACTTTATATTTCATGGTAATTTATTGGGGTTTTTCTGGTAGTACCCCCCACCCCATCCTCAGTTCACTGTTCAAGTCTTGTTTCTTATAGGACTTTATCACTGGCAGCCTGAGGAAGATCAAAAGAAACTATGATTACTGGGTGGGACTGTCTCAGGATGGGTCCAGCCAACCTTGGCTTTGGCGAGACGGCTCCTCTCCTTCCCCTGATCTGTAAGTCTCTGAGGGAAACATTCCAAGAAGAATTAGACACAGGGGGGAAATCAAAAGTTCATTTTATTTTATACCTTACGTTTCCTCCAGAAGACAAAACCAGCATGATAATGTCACAGGCTTCTGGTTGGAATCAAAGCCAAGATAATTTAAGAATGGCTACATGACTTCTAAATTTTCTGTCTCAGCCCCACTGCCATTACACTGTGGCACATTCACATCAAAATTCGAGTCTGAATGAACAATACTACGTGATTATCACGTACATTTCCTTTGTATCATTTAAAGGCTAGAGGGCTAAGGGCAAGAGACTATAGTAATTGTTAGGCAATTTCCATAGTAAGCTTTCAGAAAGAGCTAGGGAGGCTGGTCAGCAGTGCCTTCGGATTTTGAGAATTAAGAATCAGAAAAGAGATTCCAAATTAGAGCCTATCCTTTTGTATTCAAGCTTTTTTTTTTTTTTAAATGCTGCTTGTTGAAGTAATATTTACATACTTTATTGAGAGAAAATAGTTCTGTTATTGAAGAAGAAGGGCAAAACTACCGCGAGGGTGACAGATTAAAACAAAAGAAAAAGCTGTACATCTCTCATTTTATTGCCCAGAGGACATTCCCGTAAGCCCAACACCTAACCTCAGATACACTGACTTGCGCCTCCAGGTCACCAATACAGGGACCCCAATCAACTAACCAGGTCTGTGGATACCTCAGAAACAACGGCCTTTCTTCCGCTAACTGCAGCACTTGGAAATATTTCATCTGTGAGAAATACGCGTTAAGATCTTCTACCTGAAAGAAAGTTTGCTTGAAGTGATTGCTCCATTATGGTAATACCTGCAACAGATCATTGGAAAACCTGTAACAATGAGTTTAAGAGTCAGCGCAGAAGTAAACCAGTGCAAGGGTTGTGAAACCAGCTACCCGAGACACAAAACCTATCTTGCATTTACACTTGGTAATATTCCTCAACATTTTCCAGATGTCCCTTTGACATTGTTCAAGTTAATTACCGAGAATAAAATTGGTTTAGAGCAACAGAGGACAAAACCCTAAAGAGTGGAAAACAAGCTGAAGAAAAATCATTTCTATTTGTCATTTTTTTTCTTCCTCTCTCTCTCTCTTTTTAATTTAGAGTGACTGTGAACTCGACAGAAAAATCTATAAGTCACTGGGGAGATGATGCAGTTTTAGCTGACTGATACTGTTTTTAATAAATGAATAAATGTGACCTTTTAAACTCACTGTTTGCCAGATCTTTCTGTGCATTTGCTGGGTTTCCAGGCATTATGTTATTGGACCAGTAGGATGGGAGGACAGAGATATGGATTTTCAAATTGGAAGGAAGACAGGCTGCTATCTGCTGCCTGTAAGACAATACCATTTTTAGGACTGCAGAATTCTGCTGGAGAGACGAACAACCAGAGCTACACGTAAGCGGAAGGAATAGTCAGGCTGCCAATATCAGCGTGTCTCCAGTAAAGAAGGGCTGCGAGCTTCCTTCCTGCCTCTCACTGACCATCCCCACCACTCGCAAATCAAAAGACTCATGATCTGGATCCTCAAGGTTAATACTCCAGCACTTTTAACTACATCTCTCTGTGCCTCAATGTCCTCCTTGAAAAGCAATAATAGAACTTGCTTCAGGGCTTCCCTGGTGGCGCGGTGGTTGAGAGTCCGCCTGCCGATGCAAGGGACGCGTGTTCGTGCTCCCGGTCCGGGAAGATCCCACATGCCGCGGAGCGGCTGGGCCGGTGAGCCATGGCCGCTGAGCCTGCGCGTCCGGAGCCTGTGCTCCGCAACGGGAGAGGCCACAACAGTGAGAGGCCCGCGTACCGAAAAAAAAAAAAAAAAAAAGACACCACTTAAATAAATAAAACCTAATTCACTGAGGCAGTAAGAAATCATTTAAGTGAACCTGGAAGCCTATTGTAAAAGATGACCTCTGAAGGAGACATTCCTTTAGGGATGGGAAGGGCATGTTTTTGTGTTTGTTTCTTTATCTGCCCTTGACTTGGAGCTTAAATGGTGGGAATGTCAATAAAAGGGATTATTCTCTAGTTTTCTGCTGAACGTAGAAAAGGAAAATAGCAAAGAAAACACAGTATAAATTGTCCGCTCTGGTTTTTACAGATGGCAGCTCAATCTAATCACCTGGAATAAAGGGGAAATAATAGCAAGTTTTAGTAGCAAAGACTGTTTGTCTTCAAGATTCTTCAAAGTATTGTCATGGAGCTGTGTTTGGAGAAAGGATAGGAAGCATTTAATAACTCTTTTCAGAAGAAGTACAATGAAGCCAGAGGCAAACATCCTACAGCTGACGTCATCCGCCAGCATGTGATACAAGTCCGAGTTTTATCTACAGAGCAGCTGGCATAAGCCTCTACAGATTTCCTCAGTGGTAATATTGCTTTCCACACAGATGGTACGGGTGGGAGATTTTTTCCTTGCCGTTTGCTTTTGGCCCAGAAAAGCAAGGCCTTTTTCAACACAGTGGTAAAAGACTGGACCTTAACACCGGGATAATCAGTTTCATATCCTAGTCCCACCAATAATGAACTGGGTATCTGATCCATCTCACTGAGTTCTGGCTTAGTTTTTAAAAAGGGAAAGGATAGGAAAAATAAAACCCTGTCCTATAAATGTAAAGAGGCTTTTTTAACATGCTCTATCCAAAGGACATTAAATGTATGAAAAGAAAAACTTTGGTAATATTGGTAGAATAATAATAAGTATCATTAGATTCTAAAAATCTATTCATACAATGAATAAAAGAAGTTATGTACACTTGAAATCAGATTATGCAGCTTTTTGTATTCTTCGAAAACTGCAAGAATTCCATTAGAAAGTATTCGACTCCCAAATATTGAGGGCAACCCTGAGGCAACCTTCTAGACCTTTCTATGTATTTCACAATCTGCTACTATCTCTAAAGTAAAAGCTCCCAGCACACTTCTCACATTTCCTGCTGTTACAAGACCCCTGACCTGTTTCCTGTTGATAAATTTTAAGAGCTGGTTAATATCCTCAGGAAAAGAAATAGCTCATTGTGTACCCTGGAGAACTCGGATCTACCAGGAAAGGCCTCGTTCCTCATTTAACATTCCCCCCCCCACCCCAGTTTCTTCAGAATTACCTAAACACACAAGAGCCTAGAAGAACAAAAGTTTTCTCATGTTGGAAAACCCATTCACGGGGTGCTACCCTGTCTGATTCTCGACGGAAAATTGTTCTCAGAAAGTCATATTATGGTTATTGCCTATTCTTAAAATTAAAAAAAACAAGTTTGTGGCGTGAATCCTGTGCCATACTCCTTTCCGTTCTTCTGAAATATTTGCTTATGTCGTGATCAGTACTGTGGATTTTATTAGGTAGATGAGGAGGTTGAGGGCAAAGATGGAGAGGAATCAGCTCAAGAATAACAAACGTCAGGGCTTCCCTGGTGGCGCAGTGGTTGAGAATCCGCCTGCCGATGCAGGGGACACGGGTTCGTGCTCCCGGTCCGGGAAGATCCCACATGCCGCGGAGTGGCTGAGCCCGTGAGCCCTGGCCGCTGAGCCTGCGCGTCCGGAGCCTGTGCTCCGCAACGGGAGAGGCCGTGACAGTGAGAGACCCGCATACCGCAAAAAAAAAGAATAACAAACGTCAGATACATGCTGTTATTTTTCCTTCCTCACCATCTAAAGTGACACTTTCCCTTAGACTGCAGATCTGGAGAGAAAACACTAATTATCACCCACTAACCAGGCAGCTAGACTTGTTAAAGCAATGACATTTAAAGAGACACCCGTCATCCAGCCCTGAACCAGTCCGCAGTCACGTAAGATGCCGGGGGTCAAAACTGAATGTGTGCCACCTCAATTGTACTTAGTTCACAAAATCATTTGACTTTCTCAGATTAACCATATTTTCTTGCTGCAGTAACAAGGCTTAAAGAACACTTAATTGCTTAACTAAAGGTCTAATCCCTGTCTCTCGTTATGTGCTTATTATATCAACCACGTTCATTAAATACCTGCACCCGCCATGGAAAATATTTAGTAACATCCACAGGCCCCCAGTGTAGGGGCCTCTCTATAATTTGTTCACGAATATAGGTCTCTGAAGAAGATGGTTTATGCTTGCTTTCGCTTCCCTACTTTTAAAAACTAAATCCCTCCTCTGCTTTTCTACATATTTTTAATGTCCCTTACGTTTTACATTGCAATGTAGATTATGAAACTAATTCCACATGTACCTCATTTCAGCCAACAAGAACACCCTGAGGAAACTGTAAATATGTCTACTTTATACTTGATGAAATAAGTTTTGTGAAGTGAAGGGATTTGCCAGATAATAAATTACAATACGGGATCTAAAACTTCATTTTATGGCCACAAATGCAGTTCTTTTTGTAAAATTTGTTCAATGCTGAAGAAATTTCCTAACTAATTAACAGAAAATTGAAGGGAAAATTCTTAAGGAAGAAATCTACAAGCAACGATTGATAAGTGACACAGTCTTGCAGGAATAAATACAAACATCTCCCCTTTATCATGTATTTGCTAATTCAATGTCATTTCACCATGAGATAGATGTTTACTGAAAATAAAACTGAAGCATCCTAGTTTCCACTGTTGAAAAACAAAGAATGATAATAGATTAGCCTTTCTAGTGTTAAACCCCTAAAATTGATTTATCTCTAAGTCGATGAAGTCAGTGGCTGTGATGGTGTTATCTGCAATGATTTCTGTTATGTGCGTGCATATTGCCCTGAGCTAGGGGCACCTGTACAGAAGCCAGCTGTGTATGCAGATGTCACAGTGTCTCTTTCACTTGCCATGACCCGATTGGATAACTCACCCTATCACAATTCGGTTGACTCATCTTTAGCCACACATTGATGTTATAAACGTGCCTCAAAAGATTTAAAATGTTAAAACCATCCTCTTGAAGACAGCATGCCTCTCCAAGATTTCTTATTTTTCTCAAATAATGAAATAATCAGCACTCTTGTAGAGTCCCCACAAACTCTCAATAAGGCACACACAACCACAACACTGATTGCTCTCACATTTTGAAGAGCATCTGTACGTTGGAATTTTTCCCCAAAGCACAAGTCCTTTCTAAACCCACCAACACTTTCCATTATTTACATTTATTATTATCAAATCTTCAGTACCTGGAAGGTATAAACAGGGATTAAATGGAAGGAAAAGGAACAGAAACCACACTAGGCCAGGCGCACATAAAGAACTTGACTTTTGTTCTGCAGAGCAGAAATCTTCCACTTCTCTGAAGGGAGCCTGCAGTTGCAGTTGTAGCTGGAGAACCATTGGCCTCCATGTCCGGCTCAGAGGGGCTCATGGAGCCTCTGCAGCTTCACCGTGGCTGCAGCTCTTTCACATGCGCATCGCCTCAACTCCCTGCAGTCCTTGGAGAAAGCCTTTCCATTGAGGATGGTCACACAGTCCCTACTTCTTAGGCTGGTGAAATCTATTATAATCTCAAACCTCAAAAAAGAGAGAAAAAGTTCATCTTATCATAGTTTACTTCTAAAATACAAAAGTACACAGGGAGTGTCCTAAGCTTGATAAAATTATAGAATAGACACCCATAATGAGTCTACTGGAAAGATGGGGTCACCAGACTCTTTCCTCTCAGCCCCTCAGTTTCCATACGATTCTTAGAAGCATCAGCTCACCCAAAACAACAAAAACTATTTCTAACTAAAATTAAAATACACGTTATAATCCAATTTATCATTCGATTTTACTGCCATCTGAAAAATTATCTACCTTCTCTGTGACTCAGTTGATTTAACTGTAAAAAATAATCACATTGAATATGTACTATCTCCTGGAAAAATAAATCCTATATAGGTATATAGAAAGGTGTCTGCTCAAACAAGGCTTTAAACTGTAATACATTTTGATATAGATATTACGTTTACCCATCTCAAACAATATACCATACACATGCCTATCTAAATGCTCATATAAGTAAAACTAATTTTTGATAATATTACTGTTTATATTGTGAGTAAATCTATTCTCAGAGACTGTATTTTGAAAGATGTGCTCCCCATTTCACTGCACAGAGAGCCAAGAAATCTGAGGTCTTATACTGCCTCTGGGTACTGACAAGTTGTAGAGTTGTGCCACCTTAGGCAGGTCACCCATTACAACCTGGGCTTCAGTTTATTCACCCATAACAGAGCCCTCTCTCTCCCTCTCTCTCCGAGAATCCCGGTCTGTCTCTCTCACTCGTTTATGAGCTATTCTGAGAGTAAGTACTATGTTTTATATACCTTTGGAAGTCCTCCTACAAACACAGTGATAGTTTCATTTATATTTGTCACTCAGGCAAAAGCTCTCTGTTAAATGCCTTTCCCATGAAATGTGCTGAAGGCTTACAGTTCATGGGAGTAAGGGGCTCCGTCCATCCACAGCCAGGCCTTGCCATTGCCGTTGCGGGATAGCCCTGTCCAATAAGAGTAGAAAAACTCAGAGTAGCTCTGAGGCATGGCAAACTCCTGTGAAAGGCACACAAGAAAACATTTAGCTTTAGAATTGTTATATACATACAGAGATGTGTAGGGCTGGCCCTCACTTTTAATATGAGAACGTAGATGGTAGTACATTCAAGAAAAATAGTGTCCATGCTGAGGTCAGTTAATTTGTCCAAGTTAAAGGATTATTTTTTCTTAATAAGCATAGACTATATGCTGATGTTCCGAAACCAAGAATCACATCAACCAAGATTTATAAATGACCCATTATTTTCAAGTCACAGGATTAAACAAGATTGATATAAAAAATATGGGATGTAGAGATGTGGAGTGATTCTGGAAACTGGAAGAATCTGGAAGGAAAAGTGCAGGAATGGGAAGTAATCTTCATGAATACATGTGAAAAGGACTGACCAGGAACGAGAAAAGAATAATGAATATACTTTAATGCAAAGCAGGGTAAAAGAAAAATTTATAAGGCTGATTTATGTCTCAGACTAAGAAGGGAAAACGGAGAAATGTTTCATACATATGCATATACATTTTTGTGTATTTACATAGATGTAATTCCTTTTCTACTATCCATATTGAAAAATGTTTAAAGTTATTTATTTCCTTCTATATCATCTCACTCTTTAACACAGAAATTATCTAACTCTTTTATCATTATCCATTGTTATACCTTCCTTTTCCACGATACTATGAGTTCCTTAAGGACGTATACTTTGTTTTATTCATTTTCACATCCTCAATCCCTTGGATAATTAATGGCACATATTGGTTCAATAAAAGATTACTGGAAATATAAATGAAACTAAGTGATAGTTACAGTATAGGCATATCAAAGAAACTGTAGTTGAAAATAGTGTTTCCAACTGAATGGTGGCCCCTTCACATTAAAAGTTCTATAAATAAATCATATGAAAGTGACTTAAATAAATGCAAATACATGAAGTGCATAAGATAAAATTACTATGTAACTTTCATAATAATACTTCTAACCACTGCATCTAGTATACTTCAGTGGTGTATCTGAATCCTCAGTTTGTGCTGGAGGGGGAGGAAACAGAGAATAAAAAAATTAGGAGGTTTTATGCTGGGATACATGGGCTTAGTCAAATAAATCGCCTCTTTTTCTGCCTAAATTGAGCCATCAAGAGCCACCTAGAGGGGTGGGATAGGGAGGGAGGGAGGGAGACGCAAGAGGGAGGAGATATGGGAATATATGTATATGTATAGCTGATTCACTTTGTTATACAGCAGAAACTAACACACCATTGTAAAGCAATTATACTCCAATAAAGACGTTAAAATAAAAAAAAGAAAGGATGAAAAAGATTATCTTAGAGGTTTGAGAGAGATTGCAGAGTTTCATTCATCACAGATTTCAGGAAGTGGATAGGAATTAAGATGTAACTAGAAAGATGTTAAGAGTTTGCACAGTTAGCAGGGTATTAATTTCAATTAAATAACTCTTTGTTGATAAACTACTCTGTGCCAAGACCTCTGCTAAAACAGTGATAAATAAATAATGGTCATACCGCTTGAGGAATTAGATCCAAAGGCTATAGATGCAGCCGCTATGGAGAACAGTATGGAGGTTCCTTAAAAAACTACAAATAGAACTACCATACGACCCAGCAATCCCACTACTGGCCATATACCCTGAGAAAACCGTAATTCAAAAAGAGTCACGTACCAAAATGTTCACTGCAGCACTAGTTACGATAGCCAGGTCATGGAAGCCACCTAAGCGTCCATCGACAGATGAATGGAGAAAGAAGATGTGGCACAGATATACAATGGAATATTACTCAGCCATAAAAAGAAACGAAATTGAACTATTTGTAGTGAGGTGGATGGACCTAGAGTCTGTCCTACAGAGTGAAGTAAGTCAGAAAGAGAAAAACAAATACAGTATGCAAAAACATAAAAAAAAAAAAAAAAAAAAAAAAAAAATGGTTCTGAAGAACCTAGGGGCAGTACAGGAATAAAGACTCAGATGTAGAGAATGGACTTGAGGACACAGGGAGGGGGAAAGGTAAACTGGGACGAAGTGAGAGAGTGGCATGGACTTATATATACCACCAAGTGGAAAGTGGATAGCTAGTGGGAAGCAGCCGCATAGCACAGGGAGATCAGCTCCGTGCTTTGTGACCACCTAGAGGGGTGGGAAAGGGAGGGCGGGAGGGAGACCCAAGAGGGAGGAGATATGGGGATATATGTATATGTATAGCTGATTCACTTTGTTATAAAGCAGAAACTAACATACCATTGTAAAGCAATTACACTTCAATAAAGATGTTTAAAAAAAAATCCAAAGACAATAATAAATGTAAAAGGGAACAATCACGCCGTTTCAATAGTGAACTTCAATTGCATGTACTTACTCAATATATGCCAATTTCATTTTCATATTTGCCTTGACCAGTCTATTTTAGGGTGTAAACTTCTGGAAGGCTAGATATTTATTTGCAGATTATGGCAATGATTTAATTAAATGTTTCGATCAAAAGTTTTGTCACTTTCACATGGAAAGACAGGAAGTGCTATTTTCATGTCTCTGACCGTGGCATCAATATTGTTCCCTTCCTAACCAAACCAAAAGAGGTTAAGAAATTAAGACCTTCTTCATTTGATTCCTGACTGTTGGGGAACTTGAAGGTCTTCTTTCTAAGGGGTGGATAGTTGTGGAGGTCATTCCACAAATGATGACCTCAGGAGATCATTCAAAGCAATAGGAATAAGACTGAGGCCTTGATTGCAATAAATAGGAGAGTCTGTGGGCTTTGACGCCTTAGAACCTTTGAAAGATTTCTTTCTGAGAGTACTTCAAACACTGAGCAAGCCTCAGGACCTTACCAGTACTTCCCGTGCATTAATCTTCAGCATGGTCGAGCTCTCAGCAATGCAGAAATATTCACAGCCCTGCCAACTCTTGCTTTCTTCATAGAACTTGTAGCATTTGTCCCCATGCCACTTCCATTTTTCTGGGCAAGGGCTGCATCTGTGTTCTTGAAAAGAAACCAAATTTAATGTTATCTTCTACCCAGGTCTGTTGTTTTTGTTCTCTTGAAATTACATAATATTTGATGACGCAAGAAAGAATTGATTCCCTAGCTCTTAGATATTTAATTGCCCAATGATAATTACAAATATTTACTGAACACCCACTATAACCCAATTATAATTGGGTATACAATGGGAATTAAAATAGACACTACCTGCTTTTATGGACAATGGAATCTAGTAGTCAATGATTGGAACTTCAGTGTTCCTTGACCCGTGTAATTCAGCATACAGAGAGAATATTCAATTTCATAAAGAACTTTTCATCTGTTCAAAAACTCAATATGCATTGGATTTGGGAAACCATTGAAGTTTCTATAATTTTCTTCCTCAGAATCCACTTATATGGTAGTAAAAGGATTTTTTAATGAAATATATATCAATAAGATCTGGATTATTTTTTCTTTTTATTCTTTTTTTTTTTTTTTTGCGGTACGCGGGCCTCTCACTGCTCTGGCCGCTCCCATTGCGGAGCACAGGCTCCGGACACACAGGTTCAGCGGCCATGGCTCACGGGCCCAGCCGCTCCATGGCATGTGGGATCTTCCCGGACCGGGGCACGAACCCGTGTCCCCTGCATCGGCAGGCGGACCCTCAACCACTGCGCCACCAGGGAAGCCCTGGATTATTTTTTCATTCAAAGCATAAGTGAATAAAATTTTAGAAAAAAATCACATAAATACAATACTAAGCCAAGCATGAGTTAAGATGGTAAATCTCCATGTGTCAGAAATTGAAATGGTCATCAAAGTCAGAGAAATAAGTGCACAAGTCAAGGGTGAGATGGACTGAGTGGGTCGTGATTGTAAATACAGGAACTAGGCCCTGAGAACCATGGTCTTATCACCTATGTGGATACATGGCCTTGGGCCTTTGAGAGTTGGGCACCTGTATCCACATCCCTTGTCAGTGTATGGTGAGATGGGAACTCAATGATTCCACAAAAATGTCCTTATTTTAAAAGCAATCCAGGGTCAAAATGTTAACATGTGAAAATCTGAGTGGTCAATACACAGATGGATGTTACATTATTGTTCATATTTTTCTGACTGTTTAAAATATTTCATAAGGTAAAATGAGGTTTTAAATAAATCAATAATTTGGGAGATTTGCTTTGAAAGTTGGCTTATATCTCTGGCCCAGACCTTTTTCCTTATATATCAAACTGCCTACTCATATCACCACACATATCTAAGGGATATTTCAAAGTCAACATGCTCAAAGCAGCATCCCTGGTTCCTAACCTCCCCCCTCATGACCACAGAATTCTTCCCCATTTCTGCTTTGCCCCAGAACTCTGGAGTTATCTTTGACTCCTTTATCTCCCTCATACCCCTCACACCCCACTTTATTACATCATGCATTCATCTCCATCAATAATATCCTAGCTTGAGGAACCATTCCCTCTTTCCTGGATTATTGCAATAGTCATCTCTTATGTGATTTCTCTGTTTCTATCCTTCCTACCCTCTCCCAGTCTATTTTCAACATATTTGTAGAATGAGCCTTTAAAAACTCATGTCAGACATGTACTTCTCCTGCTCGGGGTCCTGAAATGAATCTTTCTTTTGCTCAAAATAAAAGCCAAGGGCTTCCGTGGTGGCGCAGTGGTTGGGAGTCAGCCTGCCGATGCAGGGGACGCGGGCTCGTGCCCCGGTCCGGGAAGATCCCACATGCCGCGGAGCGGCTGGGCCCGTGAGCCATGGCCGCTGAGCCTGCGCGTCCGGAGCCTGTGCTCCGCAACGGGAGAGGCCACAAAAGTGAGAGGCCCGCGAACCGCAAAAAAAAAAAAAAGTAAAAAAAAAATGATGGCTTAGATATACACTGGTTGACATAGAAAGATATTCTCAATGTATTGGATTGAGTTATTTAAACAGCATGTTATAAAACACTATAAATATTCAAATGTTCTAATCTATTTTACAATGTCTTCATTACTTTTTAGTTACTTTTGTAATAAAATAACTAGTCGTATTGTGGATAATAGATAAATGAGCAAAGTACTGAGATAATTCACAAATGAAGAAATAAAAATGGCCAATAGGGACTTCCCTGGTGGCACAGTGGTTAAGAATCCACCTGCCAATGCACGGGACACAGGTTCGTGCCCCGGTCCGGTAAGATCCCACATGCTGCAGAGCGGCTGGGCCCGTGAGCCATGGCCGCTGAGCCTGCGCGTCCGGAGCCTGTGCTCCGCAACGGGAGAGGCCACA